ATATTAAACTACATTAGTTGAGTGATCTGTATCTAGAAGTAAAATAATCTCTAATGTGTTAAAGAGCTTTTTAAACAGCTCTGGCTCTAAAACATTACACAAACTCTGACACAGAGATGTGAAAGCAGAGAAAGGTTGTTACGCCGCTCATCAAGTACATCGCATCTCTGGAGCCACAACCATCAATTATCACCCACTCAGCCCTCAGCTGCACCAACCTGTCCGAGCCCCTCGTCTAATTCCTTTTCTTTAAGTCCTCACATGATTCATCACGGTCCAGTTCTAATCATAGCTCGGTTGTTCTGATTTCTTATTTTATTTTTTTGGCATCATTAACATTTTTTTTTTTTCATTTTCTTCACCCGCTTCTCCTTGCAGTGTCGTGCGCAGCTGGTGCAAATCTCCAGCTGTTACTGTGTGAGCAGCCTGGTACACCCTGATCACGTCACAAGTCCATCACCGGGACACAAAACCATTTATGCTCTCACTCACACCTAGGGACAAATTTAGAGTTACAAATTAACTTAACACGCTTGTATTTAGTCTGTGGGAGGAAACCTGATTCCTCGTAGAAAACCCATGCATGCACAGGAAGAACATGTAAACTCAAAACCCCAGCCGAGATGCAAACCTGTAACCTTCTTGTTGTGAGGCGACAGTTATACCCACTGTTCTACCAAATGAAATAAAAATGCTGTTAGTCTGAAAATTAGCCAGTTTTAATGCAGCTGCTTCGAGCTGAAAATATAGGAAACAGTTGTTTTTCCTTTGGACTGCTCCTTTCTTCGGGGATTGCCACAATGAGCAAACTTTGCACAAAAAAAAAAACTGACAACTGTTTTGCTTTAGGTGCCCTTCCTGCCGCAACACAAACCGGAACCTGCAGTATCAGATAATATTGCGGCGCTGACCACCGAGATACCACAGCCCCCCACAATCACAAATGTATCTAAAAGGTCCTAAATGTCAGTTTCAGATGGTCAAACCCATTCCCTTTTTGTATTTTTATGTGACTGGCTCTGAGGGTAGTTTCTGCGGGTTCACCCAGAAAAACTAAAAACCTAGAAGCTGTGTAATCAAACCCTGGGAGCGGCACCTTCCACTCAAAGTAAATGCACCGTTTACGAAGGAAAGAAAAATAATTTTTAGGAAACATTTGAACTCAAACATGAAACGCTTTTTATTTTTCTTCCAAGCACGTTTGAACCTAAACCAAATGTGCAATGCATCCCAGCTCCATTAAACAGAAACCACATTTAAAATAATTTCCACACACTTGTACTCAGATCAGTTTTAATGATTTGCCAGTTTTAATTAAATTTCTAACCTTCGGCTCATCTATGCTTCATTCAGCCGCGGAGTAACAAAAAGCTCATTCAGCTCCTTTTCACTCAGTAGAAGAACTTTGCTCCCTTCGACAGCAGCCTTTCACAAAGTCAAAATGTTATTCTAATTAGTCCCCAGGATGTTGTGGCTCTGCGTGTGCGTTTTGCTATTAAATACAACCCTGCTTTAAAACATACCTGCGTGAGAACATGCCCCCGCACTGTCGACACGAGTACGCAGCAGCAAATCTATGCATACATTTGGTCCATTCATAGGAATGCACCTGTCAGTAATTACACCGTGTGTCCTGACCCACCCATCAGTGAGTGGACACGAGTGCGAGTGTGTGTGTTTTTGTGTGATTAAAGCTGTGTTGCTCTGCCTCTTACCTAGTCCTAAGAGCGGGTGGTGTTCAACAAGCACCCAACTGTTGTCATCCACACAATGGCTTTTATAAACCAGGAGCTGGCACAGGTCCCTGGCCGTCATGTCGGCCGGGATCTCCACGACTTTACCGGCACCGTCTTCACTGAAGATCTTTACAATCTGAAACAAGAACATAAATACATTGGTTAGAATAATCAGACATGAATTAAACATAATTTGATAAACTAGAAAAAAAAAAAAAAAAACAATCACGAGCTAAAAACAGTTTTTAACTTGGTTGAGATCAAGGTTAATTAAACCTAATAATTGGATAAAAAAACATATTTCAACACGTATGAAAATGTTCATTTTAGTTAAGCAATTGTTTTTATGTTTTGTTAAATAGAAATTAATACCCACCCCCCAAAAATTGTTTTTCTCTATATCGACCATCTCCTTCCATGATTTCTTAAGATCTGAATCTGAATGAAAACTCATATCGGTCCACCTCGACTTTTACCATCTGAGATGTCTGAAAACCAGCCTGAAGGTTGGGTGAAGCCAGTAATTTTCCCTAAACACTTGCAAAGTCTTTATCATATAGCACCCCCACCCCCACCCCCACCACCCCGAGAACTATAGCATAGCCAGGCTTGTCATTATGACACACAATAGAAAAGAACAGATGCTCAGGACTATGTAGTAATTGTGGCGTTAGAAATCACAGAGGAGCGTCTCTTAAGGCAACTTCTGGGTGTGATGGAGAAACAAATATACCATAGTGTATAACAAGCATCTGCTCCTGTAAACACAAAGGCTCAAACACTGGATATACCCACAATTCCAGCTTCTCAACAAAAGGCTGCTTCAAGTCACATTTTCAGCATGGTGTGCATTTTTAATGCACATATATAAGCTTGCTATTTTAAATTAGGCTGTTTAAAACATTTATAGTTTTTTTACCCGCAAAATTAAGAATTATCTCATTGCTAGAATTAAATGAAACACACAGTCGTATGTTCAATTATATTTTTAATGTGTGTGTGTGTATGTATTTATATATATATATA